CTCGAGGGCCACCACCACCTGCAGGAGATCGCGACCCTCTCGGGCGGCCAGAAGTCGCGCGTCGTCTTTGTCGAGATGGGGCTGCGCAAGACGCACCTCCTGCTGCTCGACGAGCCGACCAACCACCTCGACCTTGAGACGGTGGACTGCCTCGTTTCTCATTATTTATTATTGTTATTATGATTATTATGATTATTATTGTTATTATTACCATTATTAGGTGGACTGCCTCGTCGAGGGGCTCAAGCACTTCAAGGCACCCTCACCCTCACCCTCACCCTCACCCTCACCCTCACCCTCACCCTCACCCTCACCCTCACCCTCACCCTCACCCTCACCCTCACCCTCACCCTCACCCTCACCCTCACCCTCACCCTCACCCTCACCCTCGCCCTCACCCTCACCCTCACCCTCACCCTCACCCTCACCCTCACCCTCACCCTCACCCTCACCCTCACCCTCACCCTCACCCTCGCCCTCACCCTCACCCTCACCCTCACCCTCACCCTCACCCTCACCCTCACCCTCACCCTCGCCCTCGCCCTCACCCTCACCCTCACCCTCACCCTCACCCTCACCCTCACCCTCACCCTCACCCTCACCCTCACCCTCACCCTCACCCTCACCCTCACCCTCACCCTCGCCCTCGCCCTCACCCTCACCCTCACCCTCACCCTCACCCTCACCCTCACCCTCACCCTCACCCTCACCCTCACCCTCACCCTCACCCTCACCCTCACCCTCACCCTCACCCTCACCCTCACCCTCACCCTCACCCTCACCCTCACCCTCACCCTCACCCTCACCCTCACCCTCACGCTCATCCCTGCCGGCGCCAACCCTAGGAGCGCCACCCTCATGGTGGGAGACTCGTACGCCGCCGATGTGGCCGGCGGCATCAACGCCAGCTTGCTTGCCACAGTCTGGGTGCGGCCGCCTCTGGAGCCGCCGGAGACCGGCGCGCAGGGGTCGCTGATGCACGGCCACCTCTCCGCCGTGCCGGCCGGCCAGCCGAGCCCGACTTTCACGGTGGAGAGCGTGCTGGAGGTGGAGGCTTGTCTGGAGAAGATTGGCTGATCTCTGTGCCGCCGTGCCGACGTTCGTGCGTGTCCGGCATGGTCCATGAATTATAAGTCTATTTGTCCTTTATTCGCTGGAGAGTCCCGTGACCTGGGGATGGACAGTCCAGAGTCGCCAAGACAACCACTCGTTCGGCACCTATCCTATTGAGTATTGTGTACACTGTTGTTGTGACTATACTTAAAGGCCTCGAGTAGTACTACAGTCTACAGCACCGCGCAAGCCGCAACCGGCCACGCCCACGGGTCGAGAC